AGCTAATTTAATTTTGAGTGAAAAGCATTTCTTCAGTAAAATTGATATCGCTCGAGTAACCGTCCCCCCACACCCTCGTGTTTATGCATTTGAGTTCAATATTATTAGTAAAATTAAACATTGGAAATTGTCATTATGAATTCAGAATTCAAAGTAGTTGAAAAAACATTAGGAAAATTGCAAATATAAGAAATAATGCAATCTTGTAAAACAATAAAATATATAATAAGAAAAGTGAATGTACATGAAGATATAAAGGCCAGAAAAGCACTAGTTAACTTACGTATTTTTAGTTGGGAGTGGGCAAAGTGTTCTCTTCGCGTCTTACTCAGAAGGATTGTGCTGCAGAAAATCTTTAGCGGCAGCCGGGGCTTTGAATTATATCAGTCGGGAAGATTGTTGTTTTTATGGTATGGGAGGGACTCGGAATTCTTGAGCTCTTATTGAGTATCTGTGGGTTTGTTTGGGTTTTTTTTTTTTTTTTTTTTTTTTGTTTTTTTTTTTTTTTTTTTTTTTTTTTTTTTTTTTTTTTTTTTTTTTAATACTTGTAATGGAAATTAATTAATTTCTGGCTAATTGTCGTGTCACGATATTTAATTTAAGAAAGGAAAAAAGGAATTTTCACTGTCAAGAGCTAGTTGACAGATTAAAAGATTATGAAATAGGCCCATTTTTTTTAGTGACAGCATAGTACCAGCGTAAGTCTGAAGACAATTAGCTTTTACATTATATACAACTTAGTAATTACACTATATACAAATCCTTCAACTGATAGTCATCCATTATACCGCTTCTCAGGTTTAAACAAATTATCATATCCCTATCAGTTAAAATGATTTAGAGTGAGTATTTTAACGCCTCTTCTTTTAAGGCAATGGTTAATAAATTGAATGGGTATTAGTTTTTTTTTAGAATTTTAATAAGGAGCAAAATTTCGCTTTGTAGATCTATTGTATCTGTGCATATATTTTTTAATTCGTTTGTATTTTTATTTTTGTAATTGTTTGGATATGTTGGAGTTCCAATTTAATTGTTTGTATTGAAATTGAAGTTTCTTGTTTTGTCAAAAAAGTAAAATTTTTTTGTAGTTAATAATTTGAAGATCTAGATAAGTCTATGCTATATTTTGTGAATTATTAGTTTATTAAGTGTAGACAATTCGGAATAAATCTCGGAGTGTCATTTTTATTAAAATTATTAAGGTCATCAATATATCTGTAAGTGTGCTTGTAGTAATTTAACTCTTGTGGTTGTAGATTTTTTTGGAATATATTTTTGGGGTAAGTGCTTTTGCAGCTGAGGGTGGTGGTTCGGTAAAACCATCGAAACTAGTCCCGTGAAAATTTAAAAATATAACGCTGATTTTTGTTGTTTGACTTCTGAATTGGAATGTATTTAACAATGAAAATATTAAAACTCACCGGTAGTCTGCAATAAATTTGAATTCGTTCAGCAAATAGTAGTTGTTTCAACTTTGGCGTATTCTTTGCCATGTAACAAGAAATATGATTGGCCCAAACACTTGAAACGTCATAATTTGGGTCGGTAAATATGTATATTATTTCTATGGCGATATATGAAAATCTTATATCTAGGCTTAAGTCCTATGCCAGTGACATTATGCGATAAGTTAGTAAGTGAAATGTTCAAGAACAGACTAAAACATTTATTTAAATTACATAGTATCATTTTATTGTGATTATTGATTAATGAAGTAATATTTTAGTCACTGTGGCACGTGTTCCATACGTTCGCCATCACTGCACTATACATTTACAAGCATCCATGCCTTTTCAGAGATTCGAACTCGGACCCTTCGGTACTGCAGTCAGCATCGCTAACCACTATCCAGGTTTGGCAGCATTCTAAAAATAAAATCATCATGCATACAAATGTGCAAAAGACATATAACCAATTTTAAATTACTGCTATTTTCCATTCAAAACAAATACAACCTTTTCGGTATTTTGAGTTATGAGGGAAACGCGCAAGTTTGAGTATAATTCTAGTGTAGTCAACGTATTCTACTTCCAAGTCCAGATAGAGAATGGTTTAGAAATACGGTTTGGAATGCAGATTTAGAAAAGTCAGAACGAAATACGGAGAAATCTGTCATCACGTCAAAACGCGAAATAAGGACACCAATCATTCAAAGAAGCAGAATATTTCCAAAAAAAAGCTATGGTTAACTATAACGGATTCTAGAAAAAGAATATATTGAGAGTGAAGTCTTCAATTACAGCCCACAAAAGTCAATTAGACAACTATCACGGCCACTAATGCATTCCTAGGTTGTCAAGCGCCCTGTCGCACACATATAAACTGCAGTTAAACTATCACATAGTCAATGACGATCATTTCAAATATAGAATTTCTATAGCGTTTATGCCAGTCGGATACTTAAATGCTAAGTTATAACCTATTGCCTTTAAATTACATAAACCCAATGATATTAATTTTTGTCAGTTAGAAACTGAAAATCGGAAGATATTTCGTTTAATTTTTCGTAGCTGCATTTCATTTAGGACATTAAACATCTAGCAGCTCTTTAATTTCTGCAATGAAAGTAAATTTTTCTGAATAAAGTAGTTTTCTTAGGAGTTGAAATTTCATAATATGATTTATTAAGAGTTTTTCGTTTCTGCTTAAATTCTAATAATATATTTATTCTAAAGCTAAACTTTTATATTTCTCTAGAATACGTTCAGAAAACCTTCTTCTCAGCTACTGTAAAGAAAGACATATTTTTTCTATTAAGTTGGCTACTTCGTAGACAGTTATATATACACTAATGTTTGTAAAAAAGCTACATCATGAAGGAATTGTTGGAAATTAATCAAATTTATTCCGCATATTACTGATAGTGGTACAAATAAAAGATGAAATTTACAAGACAGAAAAAAAACGAAACGACAGTTGGAAATCAGTACTTTGTGTGTTCGCCACACCTGAGCGATGAGAACCTCGTATTGGCACTGAAAGTTCTCAAAGTAATCCTGGGCAATATCATTCCATATGTCTTCGACTTGATGCCAAAGTTCAGTCTTAACGTATAACTCGCTCGTACAGTCCCACCAGCTGTACGACCGAGTCGTCAACCGATGAAACCTTAGACATGCTCAGTGGTGACATGTCGGTGGAATAATCAGGCCATGGAAGAAGCGAAACCTGTTGTGCGCTAAAGAAGGCTTGTGCAGTCTCAGAAACATGTTCACGGGCATTATCCTACTAAAATGCAACGCCTGGAATGCGTCGAAGAATGGGAAGGATCTCTGTTTCCACAACTTCCTTTATGGAGCGATCACCGTTGAGGTTGCCCCAAATCTGCACTACATGGAATCGACAATTATACCCAATACCTCCCCACACTATGATGCCAGGCGTTCGTAAGGTATGACGCTGGATAACATACTATCGGAACAGATGTTCCCCTCTGTAATGCCTGACGCGTTTCGTCACTATACTCCAGTCTTTAGCGAGATTCATCGGAGAAAGCAACTTGTTTCCATAGGGCCCACAACGATCTCTGTTGCCGAGCCCATTGAAGTCGGAGGAGTCTGTGATTCAGCGGCAGGGGAATCCTGCGTAAAGGAACTCTTGCACGTAGTTCTTGCTACAGCAGACGGTGACGAACCATGCAGCTAAACAACACAACACCTGTAGCCGTGCTTCAACGTTGTGCCATCACACGAGAGGACTCTGTACGATCCGTCACAGCCATGCGGATGAGGTGTCTGTCGCCCAGTGTCATTCTGACATTTGCGTGCCCAGTTGACATTTGCGTGCCCAAACAAACAGTTTTGCGTACATCGTAACACTAACGTAAAAAGAACATGATTTTCATGTTGAAACTGCTTAACTTTCCTAAAACTTTTCTAACATATTTCCATGGCTGCTTTGAATTCCATTAAATGCGATAAATCTACGGATTCATTTTTCTTTTCTTGACCTTTAACACAGATCAACAAATAATCCTTCTCAATGAGCTTCGCAAAACCTTCATTTAATCTCTTTTCCTGATAGCGAAAGTTCTTCTTAGTAATATTTAAAAAATAAATCCTACGCTTTTGCTTTTCCCGGCCTCACCAATGACCTAGTGGTTAAGACAGCTGAATATCTGGGAGTTCTACATTGAGCTTATTCTCGCAAATTCGCAAATATGATAGGTGTTCGCAGCTAAACTTTATTCACTTCAGTAAATAATTTTGATACTCCTAATTTAATTGATTTTGATATTTCAGTTCCAAATTTTTAAATCTTTGAATCAACAGCTTTGTTTGTATAGTTTAATATTTATGTTTTAGAATCAATTACATAAGAATGTGCCATAAAAGCTTGTTTTAAATCTTCCACAAAACTTTCAAAGCACTGAACCTTCTTTATTTTCCTTAAAATTAAATAATTCGCTTTACTGTTTCATTTATTATAAGCAATAAAACAACTAAAGAAAGAGAAGCTAGATCTTACCTTATATGTTCACATTACAATCTTGATAACGAATAAGACTACAGAATCGATTCTTTAATCCATTCAGCAGTATGTGTAACTGCTCCACAAACAACGGTAATAAACCAACTGTGCAGTTCCGGAAAAAATCACATATGCAAACAATGAGACAAAATCTTGAAACATGCGTTTCTTTTCGGTGGCAACATTTACGCTAAAGACTGATACTACAGTACATTTCATTTTCAAACTTCCTTATTTAGTCTCCCGATAGATTTCCAGTGGGTCTTTATGTGTCAGATCTGTTGCAAGAAAATATTTAAATTCCATAGCCGTTAACATTCAGTTCAAGTACTTTTGTAGAGACATTCGGTCATTAGGTATTTTTTGGAAGCAGGCAAGATGAAAAAAGGCTCTAATTTTTTACAAACTATCTAAAATAGCTGCAGTTTTCAGATATTTTACCGAGCTATACTGCTAACCTTGAGCACATACCATTTCAGTCATCATTTCCACAAATTTTCTATTGAAATCAAATGAGCTAAGTGATGGCCACGTCAGCATAAAAATATTGTGACACTGAAAGTATTTAACTCAGCATTTACAGTGTGGAGAGGCATCGCTTTGTTTAAAAATATCCAAGTTAGTCAAATATTTGCTATCTATCTTCTAAGAATTATTTTTCTGACATATTTTAGTAATTCTGTGCATACATTTTCTTTTTATTTACAGGGTTATTAGAACAAAAGCACCATACAAGGCAAATCAAAAAATATCATCCTTTTACAAATGATTATAGTAAATACTTTATTTGGCACGGTAATATGTTATTCACCGGCAATATGTTAAATTAAATTTTGACTATTCAAGTTTTTGTCACGCATTACAGATGCCCTGAAAACATGACAGGACTATTTTTTTCCATATTTCGATTCTACGGCTTAAATTATGCCTACGCATTAAATTTTATAAAATTTGATCACAAACTTACCTAGAAATTTAAAAAATTGTCTTAGCGCACCAAGAATAACTTGATCGGCGAAATTCTTAATTTATGGTAACCAATGTCCTTTCCCTTTTACTGTGCACAAGAGGAATAAAAGGTGCATCATACATTCTTTCAAATAATTTTAACAAAGTGCGGTAAACCATATTTAGAGTTATTACCGCTTATATCAAATATGCTAAATTTCGAAATGCGCTAATACATAAATTCACGTATAACTTCGGAAATTTTGTATAAAAAAAACTCTACTTTTTTGTATGTATGCTTAGAAATACATCTTCTTTATAATGATGGCAAAAATTTTATATGTGATAATTCAACAATATTTTCAAAAAAATTATAAAAAATACAAATTTTAGAAATAAATTAGAAAACAGCCGGAATTCTATTTGTATTGAACCTAAATTTCGAATTGTGAAAGAAGGAATCTAGTAAGTTTAATAAAAAAGAGATATTAATAAATATATGCAAAATTCAATTAACTTTGAAAAGCTAAAATTTTGAGAGCTAATTTTTTTAAGAACTAGTGGTGCGATTTTTGCAAAAGTTGGCACTTTGACTTAATTTGAGTCGTAGAATCGAAATATTTAAAAAAGTCGATATGTTCAATTTTGTGTCAGAATACCAAAATTAGAAAAATGCTGTATATGTATATATATATATCTAATATATATCCTAAGTTTCGCTTTCGAGACATAGAAAACGCAAGTTAAATTTCGTCAATCGGCCCAATACAACGGAAAATATAGAGCTGTCCCTTTTTCTCGGGGCGGGGGCAAGATCTACTTAATTACATATGAGACTAAATTTATCAACTTCAAATTTTTGAAAAATATCGAATGCTGGAAAACTCCAGATGAGAGGAAGGAGTATAGTGATACAAATGATAATTTTGCAGTAACCTATAAAGTTTTCGCGTGAGCCATGAAGGTGACTCGTAAGCTTCTGAAATATAGCTCGTTATCAGACAAAATTTATTTACCTCAGTCATGGAAGAATATCGTCCCAGTTTCCAGAGATTCTCTGAATTCTTTTTGATGATGTCTCCATCCTCTATATCGCTGTCCTTTCCGTTATCCAAGCACAGACAGTCGCTAGTATCAATCACAGAAGAATCAATACATTTTCCGTAGTTGTAGGACATAAATATTTTTAACAATATATGAAGCTTTATCAGTTAGAATTTAAACATAATGTAATAAAAGTGTTTCTATAGTTTAATGAAGTATTTATCAATATAAGAATGTTGCTTGTCAATCTATTAAAAAAACAGTGTTGTAGTGCTGCATTATATATATGGCATTAAAAACACATTTTATTATTCAGGTTACTAGTATAATTTCTCATAAATAAATTCCAAAATATATTCCTTTCGTCTGAATATAATTTAAAATTAAAGTTAATAAATAATATCGTCGGAATTAAATTCGGTGATGTATCTAATAATTTTGCATCCACCTCCTTTTGAAAATTGCATGAAATTTCCGTGCATGAATTTCTTTATGTGGATGAAAGTTTAAAATGCTATTCTTAACTGTTGATCATATTCAAACACATATTGCACAAAACATGCTTTTAATAAAAATCAGGTAAGATTCAAACAAAGAAATAATCGATAATAACCAATTTTTTCGTTCCAATTACACTACTGGCCATTAAAATTGCAACACCATGAAGGAAAGCATATACAAAAAAGATATTTATTGCACATAAATAGTATGGCATGAAGGTAAAATGATTAAATTTATAAGCATTTTGGAGGTTTACAAGGTGCGAAATTAGTAGAAACATCTGTCAACCCTGACAGCTAAAACGGACTTTATCACATTAGGCATGTAGTCAAACTGGGCTTGGATGATAGAAATGGGCAACTCATTTCATGCTACTTCAAGTCTATGCCACTTTTCCTCAACCGTATTAGCTGGAGAGGGGTAGCGGACCAGTCTCTCAGCAACCCATTACCAGATGTTTTCAATGGGTGACCGATCTGGAGACCACGCAGGCCAGGGAACAGGGTCGAATACCCTGTGTTTCGAGGAAGCTCAGGGCATGACGTACAACATGTAATCATGCGTTATCATGTTGACTATGGCGTTTGGGGACCTTGAAGATAGGGCCCAACTACTGGACGCAAGATGTCAGGAATGTACCCATCTGCGTTCAAGTTACCGTCGATCCTAACTACCAGTGGCTGCCTAAACCATCACACCAGATGCAGGATCCCTATGCCGATACTGCACATAGAACAGTGACTCGTTTGAAAAGGCGACATTATACCACTCCTGTACCCAGCTTTGTCATTTGGTGCACCAGAGTCACCGTCTCTCTCTCTCTTTGATGCATTGTCAAGGAAAGCCAAAGTAATGGTCACCCTGCTGATAGCCCACACTGCTGCAAACGTCGACCCACCTTACGGGCTGATACTGGGCGAACTGTAAACATGCCCATTTTCTGACTAATGGTCCCTGATGTGGTCTTACGGATTTGCAGGGCTGACCTCACAATATGTCTGTCCTGTCTGACGTTAGTCATTGGAGGACGTTGAGATCCTGCATGCAGTTCAGTATGACCCTCAGCAATCCATTGATACCATATTCGTATGACAGTGGTTGGAAATCGACCAGTGCGCCCGGCGATATAATGGAACGATAATCTACACTTTCGATAGGCAACGATCCTGCCTCTATAAAATTTCGAAACTTGCTGGTAAGCATTTCTTATTATTATGCGAGGCATAACACGATATTCTGAGCAAACTCCAACCTTACAAACCACTTTCCGAATGAGAAATCCACTACGCAACTTTTCTTTTATGCAGTGCTTCAGATGTCGTTTCTGCCTTCTGGGTTGTCTAAATGCGCTAAAATACTAATCATTTGCATATCTGAACTTTTATCACACTTTCGTGTGATTTTGACGTTCGTCAGATCATTGCTTCCTCATGTTGAAATTTTAATGGCCAGCAGTGTGTATTATTAAGAAATATATGGATTTTCAACGACTCACTTTTTAATCTTATTTAAAAACATGGGGTTATATAAATTGATAAATAAATTTACGGTTGTAAGTTAAGTGGATTGGCAGCATACTATTATTATTAATACTAATAAACTACCATGCCTCACATTGCACATTTTGGGGAAATTTTAAATTGTCTTGATAAAGATATTTCTAAAGTCATTTACAATAATTTGAATTTAGTGTTTATTATTCCTCACCATAAATTAGACAAAAGTGGGCAGCTTGCGAAAAAAAAGAAGCATAGACCAAGTAAATCTTTTACAGTACTGATAATCAGTTTGCAGGCTTTCCTTGTCTGAAACATCTCACATTTTTTTTTTTTTTTTTTCACTAACCGTTTTAGTTTCTAGCCACTCCTAATGCCAGAACCGGTGGGTCATTTTATTATGGAGGCACCTAATAGGCGACCACCGTTGCCTCATATGAAGGGACAGACAGTTTAATCTCATGTTTTTTCCGGTATTCGAACCCGGACCCTCCACTACTGCAGTTATAGTCACTCTAACCACTTTTCCATTTGGGCGGCACACCAGGTATTCTAATAGCAGGTCTTAAAGTATTTAAATAAATAACGTAGACATAAAAGCCTATTAGCTCGCTTAGTTAATTTTTAAAAGGTTGTCTCTCTACTATTTAGTACACGAATAACGGTATCAAAATCTCAAATTATAAATGTAATAATTTAAGAGTACTACTAGTCATTTACTGAGAAATATTTACATTAATTATAAAAAACACGCCTTCATATTTAATCAAAAAGTTTTTTTTTAATCAGCTTAATGTTTAATAGTTTTTTCTATTTCCATAATAAACCTAAAAGGTCACTGAAAACTACAGTGTACTTTTTTGGTGCTATTTATTTTCACAAAATGGAAGGCAACTGGGTGTCACGTGTAAAATATGGTTTTATGCTGAAGTTCCAGGAAGAAAGAGCGTTATTTACTTTGTCTTGCTTATAATATTTTCGCAGTATATTTATCAAAAATATTAGTTTGTTCTTCATATTTATTCCACGAATAATGATACATATTTTTCTAGTTTCGCATTGTATACAATAAATCATGATTAAATATTGATTAAATGTCTAAATAATATAGCAAAATAGTGAATGCATATCCAATAAACTCAAGTAGGAAAAATTCATGCAAAAGTAATAAAGAAAATTTTTAAGAACTTTATTCTGTGATTTTCATGACTGCTAAATAACAATGATAGTTTTATTTTTCTTTCTAGTTTCAAAGAAAATAAATTATTATCCATCGTAAAATTTTATCACTTTCAGAAAACTGTTACTTTGCAATTTAAATTTTTCTAAAGGTATAAAAGGAGAAGAAATACAATAAATAAAAACATCAGTCATTACCGATCTCAGTGAAAGCTCATGTTGGAAATTTCACTGATAAAGGATCACAAATCAGTAACAATCTTTGAATGGTACGCAGAACACAGCATAAATATATAAAAAGGGTATAACAAAGAGCTATACACTAATAAGACCACTATACTGTGAATCACTTACCACATCTTTATTGTTTGGAAAGCTTTATTTCTATGGCGGTATATTCTCTAGATCCATCTCCATTCTTCTTTATGCTTTAAAAGCGAAGGAGCAAAAATAAGAAGAAAATCATTACTACAATAAAAAATCTCAGGTAAGGAAATTTTCTTTACAGTTTTTTTTTTTTTTTTTTTTTTTTTTTTTTTTTTTAACTTTTAAATGCTTAATAGTTTTTAGGGTTATTTTGTAGGGTCACATTAATTTTGTAGAGGACTGTTTAGAATAGTCACGAAAATGCAATGTACCACTCAAAAGTAGTTACACTATAGCACTAAGCATAGTATTTAGCTTATAGTATTTGTTTTTAACATAATACAGAGAGAGTACATAAAATATTCTTATATGTATTTCTAACGCATAGTTTGCAAACTATATGAGTTAAGCTTTCTTGAAAGTATATGAGAGGGGAATTAGAAATGAACTGAATCTTTAATAACTGGCTACGTGAAAAACAATAGAAGACCCTGTTCAAAACTCCAATGTGCTTAATTTACATTTTATATATTTGATTTAGGGCCTGACCTTTAGTCATTCTTTCTCAAATGATGCAGTCAACACTTCGTTTTTTTAATCTCCAGTTGGTCAAAGTTACTCAGGCAATATTTGTAAAATAAGTACCCGAAATATTTATGATATCATCAAAAATCTTCTAACTATTCTGTGGAAGAAGAACGGAATTGTAATGCGAATATTTTTCAGAAAATTTTATTTTAAAACATTTAAAAGCAAAATAGGAAGTAAATTTAAAAAACAAAAAATAAATAAAAATTAAAAAAAGAGTAAAATAATCAGTCATGTATCTCTCAGATAAAATGTGAGCAACATAGTTTTGTATATACTTAGTTCAACTTTTTCAGTGTTATGTTGTGAAACGAAGTACATAAACTAAAATATCCGTTCGAGAGTGACTCAGTTTCATACCAGCGTTGCAATTTATTCCATAAATAATTATTTTATATCGAGTTTTCTATGTTGATGAAAGTTATTTTTACTTATTGAATCACTGGATTAAATTTTATCGGGGAAAAAAATAAAAATATCGTTCTTATAAGAAATTTGCATCTTCCACTCACCTTTATTGCTACGAAAAGTATTCCATGTCTTTCCCGAGCAAGCTGACAGCTTGCGAATGCTCCATGAATGAAAACATGCTGGTAGCAATGTGCCCGGAAGTTCTCAATTCAAATTACAGGTGACCTAATAAGACAGCCTACCGAGGGTTGGGTTGCTAGGATACTATCTTGTTTCCTCGCCAAATTCTTTTCGCAGAACAGTAGAATAAAACGCCAAAATTCGAAGGATTCATGTTTTAGATTACGACCTCAGTGGGAATTAGAGCTTATATCGTAGTGAAATAATTCCAGTTAAGTCATTTATGGCAAATAATAGATGAAGCGTCGGTGAAACTGCTGCTGTTTCTAGCTCACTGACCCATTTGCCATGAAATTGATGCGTTGACCAGCTGTACTTCGGAGCACAATGCTAAATGAGATTAGTAAAGAGATGATTTTCTGGCATTCACATATATACAATTTAAAAAGTTCCCATCACATGAATTTTTTCATTCTTACTGCCATTTTCTTTAAATGCATGAAAACGCATATACGTCATACTGCCATCTAAATTGAACCCAATTACTAACAACAGATATTTGGATGAATTGGATTAGATTAATCACAATATGGCAAAGCCCTCGAGGGCTATCGGTTTCTGAGCTATCTTCGTTGAAGATTTTTTAAAGAAAAGTGGCTCGTATCAACGTTATGGCCTGATAACATATAGCGTGGCTATAAAAAACGTTTCTAACAAATGCATTTCTTCCAGCACTAGCTTTTAACAGAAGTTTCCAGCCAAACGAGTTGCTCTCAGCAATCTGATATGCGTGCATACCCACAACTTTACGTGGCTAAGAAAATGTTTCTCTTGCAGCCCGATTTCGCGTATCAAAAGAAGAGAATTTATTTCTGGGAAGTCTTCGCACAAGTCACCCAATCAAATTTCCTAGAAGCGAAAATTCCCGGAAATGTTTCTGTCGAAGCGCAGTTGAGGGTATCTAGCAAGTCTGTTAGCAGTTTTACCACATGGAGAACACCGTGAAAAGCATTTCTCCGAGATACAAATATTCGCAGCGCTTAAAAAGACACAAATATACGAGAGATGAATCTTTAATAATGGCAACTATTTATTTACAACTGACACAAAGGAGATATGGAAATCCTAGTATTCCCATAGTAGAGCCTATTTTGCTGATGATTCTAAAGAAGCAGCTGTGTTTTGAAGAATTTCTAGAAAAGCTCGGAAATGAATGCACGAAGTAGTTCCATTTTCTTAGAAATCAAATCATAGTGCTTAAATTAGGAAAGCGTGATGGATGGAGTAGTTTTCAGCTTTATCGGGAGAATGAATAAGCTATTGGTTCCACAACATGCGTCCGACTAATTGTCTTTCAAAATGGTGGGAAGATTCTGTTGTTGCTCTTCCCCAAAACTGATTCCAGGTTACATTCCAAAATAAATAGTAATACTGAACCTAGGTGGTTTGTCCTGGAAGTAATCCATCACAATCATATACGAGAATTGCCATTACACTGCTGGAGTTCTGACGAGCTTTTGATTTTTATGGTAATGCCTAATGATGCCAAATGTTTCGATTAACATTTCAGTTTTAACTCTCAGGACCTAATCCATACCTTACCCAAACAAATGATAGGGAACAGAAAAGCTTCTCTTGGACGAGCACAGAACTTCATGTGGGTTTGACAGACATCTTACAGTGATCATTTTTGAATTTCTACTAGCTCCGCTCTTTCTACTCCGAGAAACTCTTGTTCACACAATTTTAGACAGTCAACTCCCTAGAGACTATTCTTTTCATTACAGAGTCCGTAGGGCTAGAGCGGAGAAGCCATTTACTGTACAGGAAGTTAGGTATCGATCTAAGATGTGGTATAAGGTATTTCTCCCGCCTTCTTAGCATGCCTTCGTGGTGTGGTGGTCTACACGCTGGGTGCGTATTCCAGAGGTCCGTGGTTCGGTTCCGGGCGAAGTGGTTGCTTATTTTTCATCTTGCCTGCTTCTAAAAAAAATACCTAACTTCTCTATAAAATAAGAAATATTTATTCCATTTCACACGACAGTACGATAACAGACTCTGAATACAGCAATATCGTTTCTATTAGATTTCTACCCCATGTGTTAAGGCCGTTTCTACATATCAAAAGATCCTCCTGTTACAGAATGAATAAGATCACTGAGCCCTATCAGATTAACGCTGGCTTTAATTCCAGTGAAAGGACTGACTGTAAAAGGTTTTCATGATTTTCCCCAATAGTAACGTGAATACTTCTGCAGAGCGCGGTCCATCAGTGACTAAATGGATAAGACAGATGAACAGTTTTGATCCGGCGTCGAGCAAATGGACTGGCTGCGTAGGCGTTTCGTGGTTTTCTGTATATGTAGCTGGAATACGAGCTAGTTTCCCTTAGGAAGTCCTCTACGAAGACATCCCTTTAGGCAAGTAACCCTAGTATGTTTTGCTGCAATTAAATATATATTTATGACTAGAAATTTCTAGAGAAAGGTCCTTTTTCCCGTGGGCGAGTTGACGCTTATGTGTTGTGCCGTAATTAATTAAAAATCTTGATATATTAAGCAATTTTCGAATATGCTGATGAATTATAAATTTCGTTCCATATTTTTAGTTTGTTGTTTTATTTTATTTCATTCATTTGTGAAATTTCCTGGCAGCGTTTCCCATTTTACAAATTCTTTATTCTCCACTTTATTCTTTTTAGTTTCAACAGTGGCCCCGTAGATAAGACCGCTGAACACTAATAGTTCGACCTGGATTCAAATACAGACGGCTGCACGGGCATTTTCGCGTTTTCCTATTTTTCGTGATCTTTGCTTTAATTAAAATCGACGAACCAACCATTCGAAAAAGATTTTCTAAATTGAGACTTGCATACACGTTTACCTGGCTAATATTAAACATCTTAGTTTAAATCTGTTATCTTTCTCAGATGATCAGTTTGCATTCCAGTTAAAGGTTGCGTTGCTGAGTATACCACAAAAGGGCTGTCCTTGTCGATCTTAACTAGATGCAGCCGATGGCTTTGCATGGTGCTCTACGGGGGGGGGGGGACGCGTGTGTTTCAGTGGAAGCGTCATTTGTATTATATTACTAGCATGTGGGTACGTTACCCAGTGAACCATGGTGACTAACGTGTGTCCCTCATACTTTAACCTGTAACCTTTATAATCTTCAGTGGGAAACATCAAGAGGGTCTTTCTTGCTTTGAATGCAATTATCGGATCTGAGTGTTTTCTTCAAATTTAATGTAATAGTCAGATGTTTACTAACATGTTACTTTAAAAGTTTCGGAAGCTGTTCTTTTTACTATATTTACTTATCTGGACGGTAATACGCGTTAAGCATTCCATCAGTTATATCGTTGCTAGTCGCTATATAAGATATTTCTCCCACCTTCTTAGCCTGCCTTGGTAGTGTAGTGGTCAGCACGCTAAACGCGTATTCGAGAAGTCCGTGGTTCGAGTCCCGGCGAAAGCTTTGCTCATTTTTCATGCTTCCAAAATTACCTAATGTTTGTACAGCTATTGCAGTTTTTCCCGCTCTAGAAAGATATTTAGTAATCTATGTAGTAGTTATAAATCGTATGCTCTTAGAATGGATAATTAAGTTCGAAAATTCTGAAATATTTAGCAAGAATATAGCTTTATAATACAAAAAGTACATGAGAAATTTATTAAGTTCATGTCGATGTAATTTGCATAAAAATATTGTTGCTGCTATCCAAAAATTGAGCATATGTGGGATAATTTATTCTTTCTCAAGTAATCAAGTATTTTAACCTATTAATATTTTACTCTCATACTGATTTATTTTAACTAGCATTGTATATCTTTATTACGAATGGAAAATACGTTTACGACCATCTGATTCAAATTCTGAATTGCAAACATTATAGAAATATATACTGCCACAGTAATCTATAAGACTTGGTAAGTTTCCAATAGAAAGAGATATTCGTAATACTCAATTCATTCTCATTTAGATATTGTGAGAAATATAGCAGACAAAATAATTCAGACTTCTCTCGTGAATTTTTTAGTTTACCATAGTACGTTAGTGTGTCTTGTTTTCATTTCAGTACTAGAAAATGTTATAGTTTCTACAAGAGTTTGCAGCAAATCATAGGAGACTCGTATTATTTCAAATCCTATGGTTTTAAAGAAATCTCAAAATATTATAAATTTGCTCTATTTAAATCGTAAAAAATAACTGATAATTTATAATTTAATCGTGTACCTGTACGCTTAATATTTCGTTTACTCGTGATTCCTCATGATAATTCAATATAAATATAAATCAATAACTGAGAATAATGATATTCTGTTAGTTTCGGTGGTAGAAATTGCGCATTTGAAGGACACATAAAAAAATCTTTGTCTGTTGAATCTCTTTGGATAAAACTTGTTGAGGCTTGTATTAATAACGCTCTCTTTGCAAGTGCCTGCATTGCTATGAAAGATATGATTAAAGATGAGGTCTTGGATTTCAAAAGAAATGCTGGATTTAGAAAAATAAGTTTTTAAGAACTGAATTCATTTTACATTCTTTTCGCTTACGCGTGTCTACTAACAGAAGTAATCTATGATGGTGTCGCAAACTTGGTATCTTATCGCAAGCCAACATAAATTTTAAAGGTAGAATTGACTGAACATCATTTTTCTTTTAATAAAACCATATCGCAGTTCAGCCAGTCAGGTAATAGCAGCCTTCGCTTAGTCAAATGAAAAATTCTTAAAGCTATCCGTACTTCCTGGACTTCTTTTTCGATCATAACGATTTCCATTTTTTCATAAAATTTGTCAGCAATTGTAGTTTATATTTTTTCCTCTACAGATTTTTAAAAAATTTTTCCAGCCATATGTAATAAAAAATTTCAGTTTATCTGTTGTGAATTTGATCTGTGTTGTATTTCATGGATAAGAGTCCCCGATAGTGGCACAACATAATTAATCTTGCCTATTTTCACTCCTCATCTTCGCATTCACAACTTGTAACTCTTGCTGAGAAAGTCGCAGTAAAACATAATATGTTGTTAGAGGGAGAATAACATATTCATTCCTAGTTTCAGTAATTGGCCCCCAATTCTAAATGAGCTTTCTTAAGTGATCGATAA